ACATCAGGACTTCGTGGAAACTGATATGTTGGTTCTAAAATGTGTATGTAATAACAAAGGGCCAAGAATAGTAATAACAAAGGGCCAACACGCTCCTGAAAAAAACTTGCTCAACTGGATAGCAAAACTTACAAAGGTAAAGTAATTAAGACAGAATGGTATTAGCACAGGGATAGAGAACTTGGAAGAGAATATAAGTCTGGAAACAGACTTGCACATTATGAAACCTTGTTATATGACCAGAGATGTCATTGTAGATCACTGGAGAAATTCTAGTCAATAAACGGTATTGGAAACATTGGCTGGCCATTTGGAAAACAAAGAAATGGATTCCTATTTTGTACCAAACAAAACCCGATTCTGTGTGGACTAATGATTTGAACATGAAAGGCAAAACTTTTAAAGTTTCCTCCCAAATTCTAGGAATTACTTGACTTTAGGGTAGGCAAGAATTGTTTCTTTTTCTTTCTTTAAAAAAAATTTTTTAATGTTTATTTTTATTTTGGAGAGAGGGAGAGAGAGTGGGGAAGGGGCAGAGAGAGGGAGGGGACAGAGGATCCAAGCAGGCTCTGTGCTGACAGCTGAGAGCCTGAAGTGGGGCTCGAACTCATGAACTCAGAGATCATGACCTGAGCCAAAATCTGATGCTTCGCCAACTGAGCCACCCAATGTGTCCCTCTGAAGGTTTTCCATAAACCTACCTGCCCACTCATGCATAGTCTCTCCCTTTATCAACATGTCCCAACATGTTTCGTGGTATGTTGGTTGCTATTGATGAATCTATGCTGATTTATCATTTTCATCTAAAGTCCACCATCACCTTAGGGTTCACCCCTGGTGTTATACATTCTATGGGTTTGGACAAATGTACAACGACAGTATCCACCATCATGGTATCATACATAGTGCTTTCACTGTCAGAAAAACGTATTCATCCCTCCCATCCCCCAGCCCGGGGCAGGGCAAGGACTTTTTAGATGCCCAAGTTGCAAACTACAGAAGAAAAGATGGACACTTTCAGCTACATTAAACTTAAGAACTTTTACTCATCCAAAGATCCCATAAAGAAAGTGAAAAAATCTTGGACTGGAGGCTGGATTGGGGGGAAAATTGCTCTAAAGAACATTATCGGAACATCTGGGCTGAGTTTCAATATAAACTGTGAATTGGATGTTAGTGTTCTATCAGTGTTAAACTACCTGAATTTGAAAACGGTTCAATGTTAACTATCTAAATTTGGAAATGGGTACGTAAAAGAATATTTTTGTTTCCAAGGATACATGCTACAACTTAGTCCCAAATAGATGAGCAAAAGTGCTGTGTATATTGTCTATTTTATACACAAATATAGCAAACTGTGAATTGATGTGAATGGTATGTACACAGGAGTTCACTGTATTTGTCATGAAGCTTTTCTGTAAGTTTGATATTTTTTCCAAAATAGAGTAAAAAGGTTTTTTTTTTTTTTTACCGTTTATTTATTTTTGAGACAGAGAGAGACAAAGCATGAACGGGGGAGGGTCAGAGAGAGAGGGAGACACAGAATCTGAAGCAGGCTCCAGGCTCCTAGCTGTCAGCACATAGCCCGATGTGGGGCTCGAACTCACGGACCGTGAGATCATGACCTGAGCCGAAGTCGGATGCTTAACCAACTGAGCCACCCAGGCGCCCCGAGTAAAAAGGTTTTTTAATGTGTGAAAACCCATGCTATAAACAGGGAGAAAACATTTCCAACACATGCAACTGACAAAAAGATTGGTATCAAGAATATATTTTTATTTATTATTTTTTAAATGTTTTATTTATTTTTGAGAGTGTGAGCAGTGGAGGAGCAGAGAGAGAGGGGGACAGAGGAGCTGGAAGTGGGTTTTGTGCTGACAGCAGCGAGCCTGCCCAATACAGGGTTTGAACTCACAAACCGTGAGATCGTGAACTGAGCTAAAGTTGGACGCTCAACTGACTGAGCCACCCAGGTGCCCCTCAAGAATATAGTTTTTAAAAAGTAAAACCCTTCAGGGCACCTGGATGGCTCAGTCGGTTATGCATCTGACTTTGGTCAGGTCATGATCTCATGGTTCGTGGGTTTGAGCCCTACGTTGGGCTCTGTGCTGGCAGCTCAGACCCTGGAGCCTGCTTTGGATTCTGTGTCTCTCGGACTTGCTTCGACAGCACATATACTAAAATTGGATTCTGTGTCTCCCCCTCTCTGCCCCTCCCCTGTTCGTGATCTGTCTCTCTTTCTCGAAAAGAAAAGGAAAGGAAAGGAAAGGAAAGGAAAGGAAAGGAAAGGAAAGGAAAGGAAAAACTCTTAGAAGAAGAGAAATAGAAATGGACAATCAACATATGAAAAAATGCTCAACATTATGGTACAGATTTATTCTCAATAGACTAGCAAAAATTAAGAAGTCTGATAATAATAAGGTTTGGAGAGAATGTGGAATAATAAGAAAGGGCCGATCAGTGCTGCTGGCAGCATAGATTGGTACCACCACTTTGAAAACATTTCAGCATTACCTTTTAAAGTTGAATACCCCATACCCTCTGACCTAGAAGTGGTGCTCCTGGGTTCAAATGAAACTCAGGCACATCCACAGGAGATGTGCACAGAATGCTCCCACCAGCCTTGTTAGTAATTACGAGGGGAAGATTTGAGTTTTGTGAGGGCATGAGATTACATAATTGCAGAAAAAACACAACAAACTACAAATGTGACAAAACTGGGTAAAGTACCATACTATTTTTTTTAAGTGTTTTACACACCTGTATACCTTTTCCTTTTCCTTTTTTTTTTTTAAACTGCATACTCTTTGATCCGTCTTCGTGACCATGATTTCTGTAATGTTGTTTATGTAGAGAGAATAAAAAAGACTAAGTCTTTCTTTTACCATGGTTAATTGAGTTTTTTTAAATTATTAATCTTTAAGATGTAAAAAAAAAAAGTCTGGACAGAATCACTGTCTGTGACCTACAAACTCAGGGATTCTGATAAATTTTACTTTGAATGATTCCTATCAATAAAGGAAAAATGTAAAGTGCATTTATAATGATATAATCATGAATACATTCCTGATGGGAGAGAATTTCCATTTGACTTAAGCATTGGTCAGAACACCATTCTCTGCTTACATTTTTACAGATCTAATAAATTTTTACAGACCAGCTTCTAGCTCCCTCCATTTCAAACTATATATTTTTCCCTCAACATGCATATACTTCTGATGCTGGATGCCATAGGACACATTCATATCCTGATATGACATTTGTCCCTGTCCCTTCCTACTCTGGGATGGGAAGCAAAAGCCTAACATTAACAGACTGCAAACCCATAAATACATTCCACTGAACTCAAGTAAATGTATCTGCAACTCAACCCACCTTGGCTGGATCCCCAAATGCCTGCTGCTATCTATCACCACCCAACTTGAGAAGTGTTGACGGAGGGGAAGCCGGAGTATAAAGAAAAAGTGGTCCTAATCCATCCTGGTTTAAATACTTCTTTAGAAGATTTTACAAAAACATATGACTGTGTGAACACATGGACAAGGCTCCTCTTTTAGGGCTTTGGAAGGGACCCATGGGAGTGGGGGCCCTGAAGCTCAAATTTCATTAGCTTCACGGTAAATTTGCCTCTAATAAATACAAAATACTGAAGACAATTCAAAAGTACATAGGAAAATACACGTAAACAACTTTACAGATACAAAATATTATAGCAGTAAAAATGAATGCTTTACTGCTTGCTTACGCTTAACAACTTGGAGGAATCAAAGAAACAAATGCTGAATGATAAAAAGTGAATCCCACATGGCTAGATATATATTGTTTTTATAAAGCTCAAAAAGAAGGAAAAGGAAACAATGTATCAATTAGGAATGCATCCAACTCTGATAAAACTACCAAAACGGAAAGGAGAGAGAAAAGAAATCCAGCATAGTGGTCGCTGAGGGAAGCAGCAAGGTGTTCAATCTGAGATGAAGGGATATATGTTTATACTAATAACGTGGCGGAGTCACAGACTTTCGTATTATCAGCACGCTTTAAAACTTAACGTTAATTGCTCAAAATGCTATTTTGTATGCACCAAACATTAGATTGAAAGTATTTCTGAATCGGTAAGAAAAATGTTGAAGTCGGCAAATTTGGCTTTCCTCCTTCCTTCCCCCCTGCTTTCTCCGCATCCCGATCTTTTAACTAACTACTAGCTGCTGGGGGCATGTGGCTCCAGAGTCTAGCAAAGCAGAGAAATGGCAATCCATGGGGACCAAAACCGTGACTTGTGTTATTTTCTGTTTGGTGATGGGTGGGGTGTGGTAGTATGGAAATATTATCCAGCGTATCAAATACATCGTGTTAAACTTACTGCATTTAGTTTTAGAGTTATTTTGCCAGCTAAAAGCAGAACGGGTTTTCAGGCCTCTGGGGCCTCTGCCCCTCCCTTTTACACTCAGACTTCCCACTTTCTAAGTGTACCAGGCCCCCGCGCCACCCGCTTCAGTCTTTCCGGGCGGTCTAACTGTTTTTCACCAGTCCTGGCCCACTCGATTACGTAAATTCTTCCAAGAGGATCCCCAAACCCGCCCCGCCCTGCAGAACTTGGCCAGCTCCAGCCACGCTCCGAAGTTTACCAGCAGCCGGGAACCGGGAAGGGCAAGGAAAGGCGCGGAACTTCCCAGTCCCCGCCCCTCCCTCGTTCCTCCCGCCCCCGTCAGCTACTAGCCAAGCTCCGCCTCCGGCGGTAGCCCCGCCTTCTCCGTCGCCCTAAGGCGCGCCGCGGCCTCCTTCCAAAACCCGGAGAAGTGGATTCTGCGCTCCGCACGGCCTTTCCTAACCGTGGTGTGGCCGAGCGGGTCCAGGCTTGTCGGCAGGAAACTGGGCCCAGCGCCTGGAGGGGGAAGGCGGCCCCGAGCGGGAGCGGACGCGCAGCAGGCCTGCGCGAGTGAGCGTGCTGCGGGCCCCGGCCGCTCGGGCCTCTTTCCCGTCGTGCTCCCTTGCCTCTGGGACGCGGGGCGCTAGGCCGCGGCGGTAGGATCCCCCCCCATCCCGTACACAGTCCCCCTCCCACCCTTGCAGTCGCGGGGTCCCGGGCCTCCGGCCGGAATCCGGCGCCCCGCCCTCCCCGTCTCCTAGCAGCGCCGTGACGTGCGTGCGCCTTTGGGTGCGGGGGTGCCGGGCTGCGGGGCGGGGGTGAGGGGCAACGCCCGAGGGGAGGGTCTGGGAGCGCGCCCCGGGAGGGATCCGGCGACTGGGAGGCCGCGCCGCTCCCCGCGCCCTGCCTGAGCCGGTTCCGTTTCGCCATTTGAGGACCTTGAGTTCCAAGCTCTTCCCTGCCGACACAGAGCCGTCCCTCTCCCCACCTCCTTGACATTCGCGGAGACTTGGGATAGTAATTCTAGACCTTCAGTTGCATTTTTGTTGGAATTTTTCTGGAAAAATTGAATCTGGTAACTTATCCTAAGAATTTTTTTTTTGAGAAAGGTGTTTTAGTATATCTAATAGGCTCAAAATTAGGTTAAAAGCCTTGTTTCACAGCCCACAGTCATTTTGCAAAAACATTTTTGGTGGAGATAGGCATAGCAGTGGTTGAGAGCTTGCACTCTGGAGCCAGAATGCCTGGGTTCTAACACTTGAGAATGGTGTGAGCTTGGACAAGCCACTTAATCTCTAGCTGGCCAAGTTTCCTCATGTGAAAAATTATAATAGAATACATAATACATCATAATAAATATCTATATATGTCCGGGGGGAGGGGTGGTGGTGCTAACCTACTTTCCAAGCTTGTGAAGATCAGGTTAACAGGTCTTGAAGCGCTAAGCACTGTGGAACATAGCAATACATACGGGTTACTTATTACATCAAAATAGCATTTTTTCTCTATGCCTTGTGGTTTTGATTTTCGAGATTCCAGCTGTGAAGTGTTTCTCCTGTTTTGTGAAAACGTAATAAAAGGATTTACTCCAGAATTTCTGTAATATTTGGTATTTCAAAGTGCAAGTAGCCAGTAAACAGAAGCAGGCAGTATGCACAAGGCTGTGCTAAGCAGTGTGCAAAGTTTCACCACTTCCATGTGTAAGGAAAAGGGCTGTTTGTTTTCACCAGAGGAAATTGATGAATGGCAGAAAAGCTTGCTCTAAGTAGTGTCGTGATGCCTTCCTCTATTCCTTTCAGGTAAAGCCCAGGGACACTAGGCTGACTGCAAGATAACCATACTTTATATGTGAATTTTATTCTTCATTGAGGGTTAAATAAATCTCATTATATAATTTCCTCAACAGAATATCAGAGGATGTTTGTTCCAAGATCTCTAAAAATCAAGAGGAATGCTAATGATGACAGCAAAAGTTGTGCAGCTAAGAAAATTAAATCAGATGCAGAAGACCTTCAGCAGGATGAAGGCAGAGATGATTCAACTGATGCTTTAGTTACAAAAGAAGCCACGACGTCAGACAGGCCCAGCACAGAACCATGCCCTTTCCCCAGCACAGCTGGCCAGTTGGCTGAGGTTTGTTTGGTTGGACCTGAGCAGGACGCAAAGGATAGCGATCTTTCTGAAGAGCCTGTAAAGTCATTTTCCAAAACACAGCGCTGGGCAGAACCTGGAGAACCTGTCTGTGTTGTTTGTGGTCGTTATGGAGAGTATATCTGCGATAAGACAGATGAAGATGTGTGTAGTTTGGAGTGTAAAGCCAAACATCTTCTGCAAGTAAAGGAAAAGGAAGAGAGATTAAAACTCAGCAGCCCTCAGAAAGCTGATTCTGAGCCCGAGGCTCCACTTAATGCTTTTTATGTCTATAAAGAGCACCCCTTTATTTTGAACCTTCAGGAAGACCAGATTGAAAATCTTAAACGGCAGCTAGGAATTGTAGTTCAAGGGCAAGATGTCACCAGACCTATTATTGACTTCGAGCATTGTGGTTTCCCTGAGGCCTTAAATCTCAACTTGAAGAAATCGGGCTATGAAGTTCCAACCCCCATCCAAATGCAGATGATTCCTGTAGGACTCCTGGGAAGAGACATTCTGGCCAGTGCGGATACTGGCTCAGGAAAAACAGCCGCTTTTCTTCTTCCTGTTATCACTCGAGCTTTATGTGAGGTAAGAGTTCACATGTGTTACTCTCAGAAGCAAGTCAGGTATATACCAAGTTTCAGCCTTAATTACATTAAAGCTGCAAACTGAACTATAATCTTAGTCGTTAGTGCTCTTAGTGGTTTTGCTTCTGATGGTAGTTTGTATGAAGAACATAATTTTAGGGAATTTTCCTTTTATTAGATTGGACCAAAGATCTTTTCCTTGAAGGTCTTAAAAATTGCCTTCCTTACAAAATATCTTCAACAGATTTTCTATTCAAGAAGTAAACTTTTGCTCTGGGGAAAGAAATGCTGCTGACTGGGTGACCTGCAGTTTTTGTGTCCATTTAGCCTCCTTGGATTTTGTGTTTTGAAAAAACTGATTTATACCAAAGTTAGAACGCTATCATAGAGTTCAAAAGCTACCCTTGAATGTGATTCGTGGTTCATCTTAAAATAATGCTGCCTTACTTTACTTGTGAGTTTATAGTGCATAAAGCACCCCCCCACACACACACACATAATTACTTTAACCACAATGTTTACCAAGTACTATTGAATTTGTGGGGTCTGGAGTAGGGCAGGAAGGGAAACCAGTGGAAAATGTAGGCAAAGAGGGGAGAGGTAAAGGAGGAAATTTTGGAAAACTAAGAATTGTAGAAGATAATGGGAGGAAAAAATGAAAGCACCTCATGTTTAAAATATAGGTAAAACTCACTGGATGTCCAAAACAGAGCTATAGTGCAGGAAATAGGACATTTGTAACAGTAAGTGAATCCATAGGAGAGCCAAGGGTGGGATGCCAAGCTTTAACCAGATCTTCATGGTTTTCTCTTCAGAGGAGCATGGCTGGAGATTGCAGAGTCCATTTGACTGGGAGCAAACTTTCAGTTTTCCCACCTTGGTTATTGTGGGTGCTCCTCCCTGGCCCCAGTTTTGATTTTTCATTGTATGTCTATGTTTTATAAGAAATGGGTTCAATTTACACTTGATCTTAGCCAAAAGGCCGAGAAGCGATAGAAATGGGTTCAATTTACAACGGTTTTTGGAGAGAACATCTGCGGTGAACAGAAGGCAGGAGAGTTCATATCCAGTTGGGCTGACGGGAACGTTCCTAGAATCACTTTGAAGATTTAGTCCACATCTGCAGGAATTAATTGCCAGTGCTTTTAGACTTGTTTTTCCCATCTTTGCAGAGCAAAACTCCATCTGCACTCATTCTTACGCCAACAAGAGAATTAGCCATTCAGATAGAGAGCCAAGCTAAAGAATTGATGAGTGGTCTGCCACGCATGAAAACTGTGCTTCTGGTAGGGGGCTTACCCTTACCTCCACAGCTTTATCGTTTGCGACAACATGTTAAGGTGAGCACCAATTTGGTAAAATGCCTTTGAAAAGCATTGTGAGCAATATGGGAGCTAGTTGTTGTTCTGTTTATTTATTTATTTATTTATTTATTTGCCCTTAAGGAATGTGATTTTAGGTTAAACCTTTTTTTTAACTTTATTTATTTTGAGGGGGTGGCTGGCAAGAGAGAGAGAGGGAGAGAGAGAATCCCAAGCAGGCTCTGTGCTGCCAGTGAAGAGCCCAGTGCGGGGCTGGACCTCATGAACTGTGAGATCATGACTTGAGCTGAAACCAAGAGTTGGACACTTAACTGTCTGAGCCACCCAGGTGCCCTTAGGTTAGCCTTTAAATTCTTGCCAAGCAAGCCTTAATTTTTTTTAAGTTTTTTTTTTTTTTAATAAATCTTTTACTGTTTTTAATGTTTATTTATTTATTTTTGAAAGAGAGAGAGGGAGCAGGGGAGGGGCGGGGTGGGGGGGTGGGGAGAGAATCCCAAGCAGGCTCCACACTATGAGTTTAGAGTCAGATGTGGGGCTTGAACCCGTGAACCAGGAGATCTTGACCTGAGCTAAAATCAAGACGTTTAACCGACTGAGCTGCCCAGGTGCCCCTTAAGTTTGTTTCTATCAGAAAGGGACACAATTTATTGAGTGTCTGTCATATGCCAAATCCTGTTGGATGTTTTCACCTGCATTATCCTATTCAGTTTTCACATTTGCTCTTGAAGGTGGGTTGGCATATCCCATCTTCTATCGTTGAGAAGTTGAATCTCAGAAAGATGGGATCTATCTAAGGATCCATAGCTACTATAAAGTGTGATTTCCTTTTTTGTTTTTTAAGTAGGCTCTGTGCCCAACATGGGGCTTTCACAACCCTGAGATCAAGAGTAGGATGCTTTACTGATTGAGCCAGCCAGGTGCCCCTAGAGTGTGATTCCTACAGAGAAGGAGGTTATCCCATGTAACCACAATACAGTTATAGAATCAGGAAATTAACATGGATACACTGGAATGCATCAGGAATTAATGTTGCTGCCATCTACTCTTCAGACCCCATTCATGTTTTACTAATTGTCCCATCACCTTTTTTTTTCCTAATAGCACAAGAATCCAGTTCAGAATCATATTTTGCATTTAGTTGTCATGTCTCTTTCATCTCCTTCAGTTTGGAAGAGTTCTTCAGTCTTTGCTTTTTTTAAAGGATTATAAACTGCTTAGTTTGAAGAAGGCCCCTCAATTGATTAGATTCAAGTTACCCATGTTTGAAAGGAATATCATGGAAGAGATGCTTTGTTTTTTTCATTACATCCTTGTAGATGATACATAATGTCAGTTTGTCCTTTTACTGGTGATATTACCTGTAAAGTAACTGTAAAGTTTTATTTTTCCCTTTGTATTTTGAGGAGTATTTTCATACTGTAAATTTCTTGTGCTTTACCACATTTCAAGCTTATTCTTTATATATATGTATACATATAATACATGCATATATATACTTACATAATATATAAGTATATACATATAATATATACATATATATATATACTTATATCAGTATAGACTCATGATTTCCTATTTCATTTAAAGGATTATAATCTGGGGGCACCTGGGTGGCTTAGTCGGTTGAGCATCCAACTCTTGATTTCGGCTCAGGTCATGATCTCACAGTTTTTGAGTTTGAGCCCCACATCGGGCTCACTGCTGTCAGCACAGAGCCCACCTCACTTCGGATCCTCTGTCTTCCTCTCTCACCTCCCCCCACTGTGCATGGCAATAGCGCTCTCTCTTTCTCAAAAATAGATGAACATTAAAAAAAAAAAAAAAAGCTTGTGTCTCTCCCTCTACCCCTCTCCTCTGCTCTCTTTCTCTCTCTCTAAAATAAAAAAAATGAATTAAAAAATAAAGGATTATAATCTGTTATTACCATTATTTGTTTTGATTCTCCAGTAGTCCCCAATTTGAGCAGTGGAATCACCATCAAGTTGGCTTCTGTGTCCTTTTATTATATCCCCATCATTTTTTGAGCACTTTATTTCTTTCTGTCTGAAGAAGATGTTCATGCTTCCATTGTTCTTTCCTTGCCTCAGCCCTGGAATCATGCTTTTCTCCAAGTTGCCATGATTCCTTTTGCTACAGGATAGTATTTAGAAACCAAGACCTGGGCTCTAAGTTGGGCTCATTGCTGTTGGCTTTTGCTATTGAGTTATCATTGCTTCTAGGACCTCTTAGTGAATAGAGGGAGGGAATTACTCCATAATTGGGTATTCTGCATCTGTATTTATCGGAGACCATGAGTTCATGTCGATACTTCCAACTCTAATTAAACACAACAAAATTTGTTTTGGGGTTTTCTGTCTCCGTGTTTGTAACCCTGGCAGTGAGAAACTTGCTACCCATTATCTTTTATATATTTGTTTACTTGACCAGTCCTCCTCTATGTAACCCCTTGCCCGTCCTCATCTCTGTCCACTGCCACAGAGTGATGCCTTCTTACTAGGCTCCACCCTGTGCCCTCTTCACCCCCTGAGACCACCAACACCCTGTGCAGGGCCACCTTTCTATGAAGGCCCCTTCTCACCCTCCTATCTCTCCCACTCCCTATGCTGGGCCATGTCTTTCACAGATGCCCTCTGAGAAAATGTGTCTGTCAAGGGGCACCTGGGTGGCTCAGTTGGTTAAGCATCTGACTTTGGTTCAGGTCATGATCTCACTGTTCAGGGGTTTCAGCCCTGCATCAGGCTCTCTGCTGTCAGCGCAGAGCCTGCTTCTGATCCTTGGTCTCCCTCTCTCTCTGCCCCTCCCCTGCTCGTTCTCTCTCCTTCTCTCTGTTTCTCCTAAAAATAAATAAACATTTCAAGAAAAAAATCTGTCCAACAAAGTGATCTTTCAAAAGCCAGGGCAAAATAGCCACCTTTTCAGATGAACAAAGCTGAGAGAGTTTATTACCAATAGAGTATCTAAAGGATCATTAAACTAAGATATTCCACATACAAAGAATCTGATTCTGGAAAGGAAGGTTTAGGATCAAAGAAAGAATGGCGAGCAAAGACAATACTAAGCATATGGATAAGTGTAAACAAATATTGACCAAATAAAAAGTAGTCATGAACAATTTGTGGGTTTAAAAAAAAAAGAAGAAGGAAAATACTGGCCAAATGTAGCATATAAGTGCAGAAAGGTTGTGACTGGTGTAAATCAATTGCCCTTGATTGTTCAAGAAAAAGGTACATATGTCAATTAATTTTAGATTTTATTAAATTACAAATATTTGTTAAAATTCAAGGGAAGCGCTAGAAGAATGGGAAAAAAAAAAGTTTCTAACTTCCAAACCGGCAGAATGCAGGAAAGTGGAAGAGGAATAGAAGGGATGAACTCAGTTCAAAATAATTGAAATGGATTTAAATGCTTACAGTATTTCTGAAGAAACCAAGCAGAGCTCTATAGCTCTATGGATACAGATCCTTATAACCCTGAAATTTATCATTCTCTGTGAGCTTGCCGTTGTGTTGCTGTGTTCTTGAAAAGTGGAATACAATTGAATTTATTAGATCATTTGTAACTCGACTTTTCGCCAGGCACCGTCTCATTCAATCTTTATAATAATTATCATTTCCATTTTATGAATGTGAGAAAGAGGCTCACGCCATTTATTAAGTGCTATAGCTAAGACTCCTACTGAAGTTTGACTAAACAGCGCCTACTTTTAACTACTCCTTCAACTATTATAAAACTGTTAAGAGCCTTGAGCAACTTTAGAAATCATTGTGCCCAACCTTTTAATTTAAAATGAAATAGCAGGCCCAAAGGGGTTTAGGGATTTGCACTTGTTTACGGAGCCAAATAGCGGTCAGCCTGCCTGCAGAGCCCTTCCTGGTCTGGTCTCTGCCTACTTTCAAGCTTCATCCAAGTCTTTCTTCCCCTTTTTTACCTCGCGGAAGCCTCTATGGCCTTCCAGCCACAGAAGGTTCCTGGATGTTTTCCTTCCACCTGGTCCTCTCCTTGCTAGCTCTCACTACTTCTGTGTTAGGGTTTAGCTTATATGTTAGCGAGGACTGGACAGATGCCTCCGTTTATTGCATACCATACTGACCTCATGAGTATTTATCTGATCCTTCCTTTGTGTTACAAGTTTCATGAGAGCAGAGACTACATCTGACTTAATCATCATTGATTCTGAGTACCTAACCTCAGTGACTGGCACATATTAGCTACCCAGTAAGTATACATAGAAAGAATGAATAAAGGAAGGAAGGAATATTATCTAATTTATTATCTTTTTCTCATTTATTTAGGTTATCATTGCAACTCCTGGGCGACTTCTGGATATAATAAAACAGAGCTCTGTAGAACTCCGTGGTATAAAAATTGTAGTAGTAGATGAAGTAAGTAGTGTTGCTTAGAACATTAGTTACATAATTTTATATAGTTTATGAAAAATACATTATAGTTATATAATCTCACTGTGTGTTCAGGCATTTTCTCCCCAAAGGAAAAAAAAAAATTAGGGATTTTTTTAAATTGCAGTGGTCATTCTTTTTTTTTTTAATTAAAACATTTTGAGAGAGAGAGAGAGCGTATGCACACTCAAGTGAGGGAAGGGCAGAGAGAGAGGGAGACACAGAATCCAAAGCAGGCTCCAGGCTCTCAGCTGTCAGCACAGAGCCCCACATGGGGCTCTAGCTCAACAAACCGCGAGATCGTGACCTGAGCCGAAGTCAGACGCTTAACCGACTGAGCCACCCAGGAGCCCCTAATTGCAGTGGTCATTCTTAATCTAGTTCCTATGTAGCATTGCAACTACCCTAAGGTATAGTGCACTGAAATTAAACCACATTAATAAATAAAATTAGCTGTCTTTTCCTAATTGACAGAAAACACAAATCCAACAGCTACTGTATTCTCAGTGATAAGTTTTTTAAACACTTGACACTGGCTATCATTTGTCTACAAAAATAAATGGATCAGTGGCAAATAACTATTAACAGGGATTTTGGAAGTAGCTGAGAATGCTTAATTGGATGACCTTTTGTATTTTTTCTCTACGTGGTCATAGGCATTTGTGGTTGTGATTTTCAGTGGTACATAGAGCAGATAAGCATTTTTATATTTTTGGTTTGCTTACAAGATAAAATAAATATGTTAGTATCTGCTGATATTCCACCATGTGAACAAGCATGAGGACACAAAACCATGTGTCAGCCCAGGCTGGACATGTGCCGGTTCTGCCTGCAGGGCATTGCACTTCTGCCTTCACACACGTCCCAACAGCAGTAACAGAGCAGAGGCCCAGCAGGGGTCACAGATGTGGGGTCCAGGTGCTGACCAGTGATGGCAACCTGGCCTGCCTTCTGTGGGGCCCAGTAAGTAGCAGTAGGGTGCCAGGGGGTGTGGAAAGAACACCTGGATGAGACTGCAAGACTGGGATTTGAGCCTTTACTCTACCTACTATGGGATGCTGGGCAAGTCATTTAATCTTCCAGACATTGTGAAAATGTCTCATAGACTGAAAAGTCCTGTAAAAATGTAAAATAATGTTATTCAGTCCTTTATTATTTTTTTTTTCTGTTTTTTTCCCTTATATATTTACCTTTTTTTTTTCCAGTGAGAATATTTAAGTTCTACTCCCTTAGCAAATTTCAGTTATACAGTATAGCGTCAACCAACTATGGTAACCACATTGTGCATGTCAGACCTTACCTGTTTTATAACCAAAAGTTCTTTACCCTTTTATCCTAAACCTCTTCCTGTTTCACCCACTCTCTAGCCCCTGGCAATCATTTTTCTACTACTTTCTATGAATTTGACTTTTATTTTCTTATGTTGAACTTTTTTATTTACTTATTTATTATTTTTTTTTAATGTTTATTTATTTTTGAGACAGAGAGAGACAAAGCATGAATGGGGGAGGGTCAGAGAGAGGGAGACAATCTGAAACAGGCTCCAGGCTCTGAGCTGTCAGCACAGAGCCCGATGGGGGGCTCGAACTCACGGACCGCAAGATCATGACCTGGGCCGAAGTCGGCCGCTTAACCGACTGAGCCACCCAGGCGCCCCATGCTGAACTTTTTTAAATTGCACATATAAGTACTATCATACAGTATTTGTCTTTTTCTGTCTAGCTTACTTTAATGCCCTCCAGGTCCATCCATGTTACTAAAAATGTAAGAAGTTTAAGTCTGAATAATAGTCCATTGTGTATACATACACCAGATTTTCTTTATCCATTCATCTGCCAATGGACACTTAGGTTGTTTCCATACCTTGGCTATTGTGAACTGTTACTCAGTCCTTTAAAAGGTGCTGCTAGGTCAGCATTTTACTGGTGTGCCTTTTGGTTCAACTGATTTATTGCATTGGATTATCATCAGACTTACTGCCACCCTGCAAGTATGAATGGGTTTCCCATTGTTGATAAGCCCATGTTCTTAAGTTCTTGCCATCTTATGAGCCTGAGAAACGGATCATCACATTGATTTTAAAGTTAATTTCCATTCCTGTTTGCTTCTCTTCACGACATTTCCATCTTTGCCAATTAATAGGGTTTCACAGGACACCTCAGTGCTATGCTCAGAATACAAAAGGAGTATTCATTCAGCAAACCTATACTGAGTGCTTGTTATGTGCAGCCTCTGTCCCAGCTCCTCAGCATTTAAGGAAATGAGCTGGTAAACAACATAATTGGTCATGTACTGAAACTGAAGTCAGCATAGAAGTGCTATTCAGAGTCCTTGGCTCTGAAACCTTCCATCAGTCCCCCAGATAGACTTTAGGTCTTCTTTCCTCTCTGACCTGTATGTAGATTGAGCAGCTCTAGATGAGTTTGGATGGAATCACAAAGAAATTTTAAATACTATTCAGGCCTACAAAGTACTGAAACCTTATTGGAGAAAAAGACATATACACTTGAAATTAAGCAAGAGCATTATCATATATACTGAAATACAAAGTACTAAAGTGTGTAATGTAGGCCAGGGAATGGCAAACTCGTGCTGTAAAGGACCAGGTAGTAAATATTTAAGGCTTCAGGGGCCACTTGGTCTCTGTTGAAACTGTTCAGTACAACCATAGACAGTAGGTAAATAAATGGGTATGACTGTGTTCGCATAAAACTGTTTACAGAAACACACAGAGGTCTGAGTTTGTCCCAAGAGCCTTAGTTTGCTGACGCCTGATATAAGCTGTTAGTAAAAAAACAGGACTATGTATGATATGCTAATTTTTCAGTGCAATTAAGGTCAAGAGAAAGAAATAAGAGATTGTGTGAATTGGCACTGTAAAAAATGGCCTCTCCGAGGTAATGGGATTTGACCTGGTCGTCCACAGATGGAAAGGATTTAGAAAACTAGAGAATGTATCCAGTATTCCAGGTGAAGAAGCTAACATAGGCAGAGGCAGAAAGGCCAAGTACATGCACTGAGAGACCAACCAGCTTGAAGCATTCTTCCTGAGAAATAATAGGAAGTAAAGTTGGGTAGTTAGGGTGGGGTCAAATTACAGAGGGCCTTGAAAGGGAGGAGGAAGATCTTGGATTTGATGTGGGAAACAATGAGGCTTTCAAAATTATTGAGTTGGGGTGTCACAAGTGGAAAGTGGTGGTTGAGCAAGGTTATTCTGCTGCTCCGTGCAAGAGAAATTAAAGAAGAAAGAATCTGTGGGACAGAGTGGCTAGCAACCCAGACAAGAGGTGAGTAGGGTCAGGGACAGGGCAGAGGCAGTGGGAGTCATGAGGACATCTGAGAACCACTGTAAATCATTCATGAATCTTCTGATGACTGAATATGAGAGAGGATGGAGAATAAGGTGGTTGACGTGACTCTATAAATGCTGGTTGTGCCTCAAATTTTAAGTAAAGGGCAAGTGGGTAAGAGTTGGAGCTTGGCAATAATATTTGAGTTTGGTTTTAGAAATGTCGAATTTCTTGTGAATGATGGATGAAATGCTGTGTGGATATGAGAAATGTGCATTAGCATCCATGAGACACACTGGTTTCTCTAAGGGAGGAAGGTTGGAGAGGGACAAGGACTGGGGCCAAGTGTCTGCTTGTGGAGTTTGAAGATGAGTCTGTAAACATGGTGTAGTTTGAGAGACCAGGAAGGAAGTGAGAACAAGTAATATCCCTGAAAAGAGAGGTCTCTGTTCTTTTTAACAAAATTTTTTTTTTGAGTTTTAATTTTTTTTTTAACGTTTATTTATTTTTGAGACAGAGAGAGACAGATCATGAATGGGGGAGGGGCAGAGAGAGAGGGAGACACAGAATTGGAAGCAGGCTCCAGGCTCTGAGCCGTCAGCCCAGAGCCCGACGCAGGGCTCGAACTCACGGACCGCGAGATCGTGACCTGGCTGAAGTCGGACGCTTAACCGACTGAGCCACCCAGGTGCCCCAAGAGAGGTCTCTGTTCTAAGAGGACGATGAAGATAAAGGAAAAGGCATGGAAACTAAGATAATTCTTTTGGAATTAGAAAATCTGCTCTGTCTTCCTACCTATTCTTTGGCCTAGAATTCTCTCCCACCCCATCCACCTGCTCTTCCTTTATGTGTCCATGGCTCTGAAACCTTCTGTCAGTCCCCTAGATAGACTTCAGGCCTTCTTTCCTCTCTGCTCTGTTGACCTATATGTAGACTTTATAATTTCTTTTATGTTCCTTGCTTTATCCCAGTAATCAAGCACAGTGTTTGCCCAGGTTTCCCTAATGGTAAGAATTACCCAGTGTACTCAGCGAATGTAATAAAAGACCAGACCTCTTATTTGGATATGCTGACTCAGTAGGTCTGAGTTGGAGTCCAGGAATATTTAAAAACTCATTCTGGGTGATTCTTTAGGGAGATTTGGGACACACTGACTAGTGAACTGCCTGACAGTGCTTTTTCGGTGCTTAGACTTGATGAATGCTTGTTTGTTTATCAGATGCATTTTTGGGGCTTTTTACATGCTAGACACTGTCCTTGGTTTTGAGGATACGATGGAAAGTGAGATAAGCTCTGACAGATGTATGTGCACAGGTAGTGTGACAGAGACAACAGGGGTTTTCTCAATTTGGTATGGGAGGAGGGCTCTCTGAGTGACTTTGATGCTGAAATCTGAACAAAAAGGAGCCAGCCACACAAAAGTCCATCTGGAGGAAAGACTGCTTCCATCAGTCTTCAGCTAGTGTTCAGGAGCTGATGTGGGAGTGATCATGGGGTAGTTGGGGATAGAAAGAAGGCTGGTGTGGCAGGGTCGTGGGACGTGAGATGGGGGAATGGTAGGCGATGAAGTCAGAGAAGTGGATGAGGATGAAAACTGGAAGACTGTGCTTAACAATTGGATTTTATTCTACATGTGATGGGAAATTACTGGAGGGTTTAAGCAGAGGAGTAACAGATCTGATTGATGTTCTAGAAGATTCTGGATGCTTGAGGTAGATGGCTTCTGGTGTGGGGGTGACAGGATGAGGAGGAGTCTCACAAATGTGAGCTGGAAAGAAGTAGCTGGATTTGGGGGTGTGTTAGTGTAAACAGATTAGATGCAGGGAAGCTTGGATGAAAAGAGAAACTGAGTGAATTTATTTCTGATGGCCTCTCTATTTTCTGAACCAGGAGAAGCAAGGCCATCTCCTGAGATGAGGGGGGCTTAGTGGGATTATTGAAGAAAAGCAGGGGATATTTGCAAGACATAGCATGGGTGTGCGCGTGCTCTGTGTCTCATAGTAAATTGAAACATTGAGACTTACCATGCTGTGAACGTGGTCCCAAGTGTTTTATATATTTTATACTCATAATATATCCTCATTAATGCTCATAGCAGCCTTATGGGGTAGCTGCTATTATCATTCCCATTTGTAAAAGGAAAAACTGAGGCTTACAGCCATTCGTTACCTTGGTTAATTTAAGGTCATAGGTAGAGTCAGGTTCAAACCCAGACCATCATGATTATTTTAGATTTTTAAATGTCACAGAATGAATATTAAAATGTGTGTTCAGGGGCGCCTGGGTGGCGCAGTCGGTTAAGCGTCCGACTTCAGCCAGGTCACGATCTCGTGGTCCGGGAGTTCGAGCCCCGCGTCAGGCTCTGGGCTGATGGCTCAGAGCCTGGAGCCTGTTTCCGATTCTGTGTCTCCCTCTCTCTCTGCCCCTCCCCCATTCATGCTCTGTCTCTCTCTGTTCGAAAAATATATAAACGTTGAAAAAAAAATTAAAAAAAAAATGTGTGTTCATACTTTAATAGTATGTTAGTGGACGCTTAAAAATACAATGCCTTAGTCTAAATACTCTAAAATAGTTAAATAACTTATTTTTCAAAATTATAGATAGCTAGATTGTATTTAAAAATCAAGATAGCCTTAATCTTTATTATTTTGAAGCAGCTTTAACTTAATTTTTTTCCTTCTGTTTGCTTAGTAATACATAAATTGTTTTTAAAGACCAGCAACACAGGAGTATATACCGAAGTGGAAGCCCCCAACAGTAAATGTTTTTACTTATTTAATATTTTATTATAAATATGCATCCATGGTTAAAAAAAAAACAACTTTGCAAGAAGCTATAAAATGAAGAATTAAATTGCACCCCCTTCTACAGCCTGCAAGCCTTCTCCCCAGAGTCAACAATTGAGTTTCTTGAGTGTATACACAACTGGTATCATGTTATACATAGTGTTCTGTACTTTGCTTTTTTCCTGCTAGCAGTGATTCATTATCACTTAATAAAAGGCTTTCCAGTCATAATTAATGATAGCAGAGGGTTGTATTATGTGGATCTACCATAATTTATTTACTAAATTCCCTATTGGTGGATATTTAGGATATATACATTTTTTTTGCCACTGTTAATGCCATAAAAACCTTTGTATATCATTGAAAACCTGTAATTACCCAATATATAATTTTATATAAATATGTATTTTCCCAATTTATCCTTTACCTTTTGACATTGTGGTATATTCTTCTGTGTAAAAGTTTTTAATTTTTCATGTTCATAATCATTTCAGTTTTTCCCTTGGGTGGCCCAGGGTTTTAATGTCCAGTAGGACTAACTTTAAAATGATTTTATTTTAGGCTGATACCATGTTAAAGATGGGCTTTCAACAGCAAGTGCTTGACATTTTGGAAAACGTTCCTAATGATTGTCAGACCATTTTGGTTTCAGCTACAATTCCAGCTAGCATAGAACAACTAGGAAGCCAGCTTCTGCATAATCCTGTGAGAATTATCACTGGGGAAAAGAACCTGCCTTGTTTCAGTGTGCGCCAGATTATTTTGTGGGTAGAAGAACCAGCCAAAAAGAAAAAATTGTTTGAAATCTTAAATGTGAGTAGTTGCGCAACCCTGTTTTGTAGATTGTGTTTGCATTTTTCACAGTCCTTAAGATTGTGATTTTTAGATGCAGCCTTTGGGGAATTTAGTATAGATACTTAATAACTAAATTGCTTTACCTCAATTCTGTGGGATCAGATAAATATTTATTTACATAAGCTTACTGTATGGATGCAGAATTGCCCCTTTTTTCCCCCTATTATAGAAAGATGTTTAAATATCAAGACTATTCTTAAGTAATATTTTTTGTTTGAAAAATTTTTAGTAGTTTTATGTATCGGGTTAAAGACAAGTTCTTTCTTGATCATTCTGTCCTTGGGAAATAGAATCTTTTAGCGGTAACTTGTTTAAGCAGAAATTTGTTAAGTGGGTGATATGTGTAGCACAGTTACTTAAAAATAAGGTATTAAGTTAAATATGTTTGTATTTACTTATGAACAGTATTTAAAATTTTAAATTGAACTCAAAATTTTAAAATTATTTTTGCAATATTAATGAAGTATTGGAGAAATATGAACAAGCAGTAGACTGTTGTGCTTCTGTTTGTGCATATTTAAAAAACATTCATTTTAACACTCATTTTTCCTCTATAAGCCTGTTGATAACTAGCTTATACTAATGCTTTCAGAAAAACTTCCCATTGTAAATTATGTTGTATGAATAATTTGAAACATATGTTTTTCGTTTTTCAGGATAGGAAACTCTTCAAGCCTCCAGTGTTAGTATTTGTGGACTGCAAGCTGGGAGCAGATCTGCTGAGCGAGGCAGTGCAGAAAATCACTGGTCTAAAAAGTGTGTCTATACATTCAGAGAAGTCACAAACAGAAAGGAAAAACATTTTGAAGGTTTGGCACTCAGCATTCTGTTTTCAAGGGACCCCCTATTACCAGCTGGTTTTTAAAGCGACCTTTTTTTAATGACTGCAAGAACTTCAGGCAAGCAGTGACTGTCAGCTAATTGTTCCTCTTGCTCAGGCTTCTGTGTTTTGGGAGCAATAAGCCTGTTCCCTACAGGGTTATCTGCTAAATAGATTACTAATTCAGAATCTACCATTTCTGAAATCAGGTCAGTTTAGATGGGGGCAGAGCAGTAGTTCACCCTTGGAAAGGGTTTGCTTGAGTACATTAAGAGAAAACATTTGATGGGGTTGGGCGGGGGGTGGTTGGGAAGAATTTAAACCACACAGATTTCTCAGGTATTCTAAGACCTTTACTTACTGAAAAGATACTGCAACAACAATGTTGAAGAAAGTATTAAAAGAAGAAAAGGTATCTGAATTAGATAAAACCACATGAGATAAATTCTGAATAATGAAGTTTGTTGCTTTTCGGGGAAGGGATTACTTGAAGGAGACTATGAAGTTGTGGTGAGCACCGGAGTCCTGGGACGAGGCCTGGACTTGATCAGTGTCAGGCTGGTTGTCAATTTCGATATGCCTTCAAGTATGGATGAGTACGTGCATCAGGTAAAGAGATTTTATGTTTCCTCCCTGAGTTCTCTTGGGCAAGGCATTGTCAATAGAGTGGTAACTAAAAAATAAAAAGTTTTGGGGTGCCTGAGTGGCTTGGTTGAGCATCTGACTCTTGATTTTGGCTCAGGTCATGATCCCAGGATCCCAGGGTTGTGGGATCAAGCCCTGGGTCAGGACTTAAGATTCTCTCTCTCTCTTTCTCTCTCTCTCTCTTCCCCCCCCCCCCTTCTGCCCCATTCCCCTGCTTGCTTGCTCTCTCCTTCTAAAATAAAATAAATGAAAAAAAGTGAGACAGTATTCTAAAAAAGAAAAAATAAGTTTTATCATAGACCTAAAAAGATTTTATAAACTTTATATAGTTTTTCCTTTTAAAACATACATGTATGTTTAGTACATACATGCTTTGTCTCTCTCTGTCCCAAAAATAAATAAACGTTAAAAAAAAAAAATTAAAAAAAATAATTGGAGGGGCGCCTGGGTGGCTCAGTCAGTTAAGCGTCCGACTTCGGCTCAGGTCATGATCTCATGATTCTTGAGTTTGAGCCCTGCCTTGGGCCCTGTGCTGGCAGGTCTGAGCCTGGAGTCTGCTTCAGCTTCTGTGTCTCCCTCTCTCTCTGGCCCTATGCTGCTCACACTCTGTCTCTCTCTCAAAAATAAACATTAAAAAATTTTTTTTCTAAACAATTGGAAATAACCTAAAATATCAGTTTAATAAAATTTTAAGTAGTGGTTTTTGTTTTTGTTTTTAATTTCCTTTCTAGTTCTTACTTAGCGAGCATATTAAATAGCGTTTATAATCAGGGGGAAGAAAAGGCTTTGTTTTAAATTGGTCTATCTGGCCGAAATAAAATTGATCCATTAAAGTATTTGTTTTTTTAGGAATCTTGTCTTCATCTCTTCTTCATATCCTTATTTGTTCTAGTCTTTCGCCTATTAAAGTTTTGTTTATTTTGCTGCCAAAGATAACAGCAGGCTCTTCTTTCTAGCAGAAATAGAGCTTTCTCTTAGCGTCGTGTTATCTCACTGACTGCTACCTGTCTTCCTTCTCCGGCATCACTTACAGACTTTTCAAGTAAAGCCTTTCTGTAATGTTCTTAGAATTCCCTCTGAATGCCACATTTACTTGGATCACCCACTGAAACGCTTTTAGTGCCTTTAATGCATTGTTGCTTTTATTTTTACTTAGACTTAGTAATATAGCAGTGCCTCTCTCTCTCTTTCTCTCCCTTTGGTCCCACCTCATTTACCTGTGCATCAAGGAATTGAGTATTACACAGGAGTTGATTGTTCAAATAAATGAAATTTATTTTCTTTTGAATTTTTAGTAATTTTCTAAAAATACTAAAATACTTAAGAAGCTTCTCTGCTTCTTAAATAGAGCATGCTGATTACAATTATGTAACTTTTTCTTGCTATCCCAAAGTCAACCCTATTGCTCTCAGTTATTCATGAGTTATCGTTCACATTCACAGTGTACCCTGAGCAATGGCCTCAGGGGGTGTTGAGTATGTAGAGTTTCTAACCTCTACTCAGAATGGCCCCATATCCTTCTGCTTTTCTATTTCTTATATCTGGGTATGTTTTGTTTGTTTGCTTCAGTAATTGAACGGTACATATACACAATAAGAAATAATACAAATAACAAAAGATATAAAGTGAAAAATAAGTCTCTGTAAGGTAACCCTCCTATTTTTGAGTGGTTACAACAGTTAATGGTGCAGAAATTATAAAATGCATGTTTATGCACAAGTACACATGTATATGCGTACCATGTTACGCTTATTACGTAAATGGGACCACATTACTCCAACTGTTCTATGCCTTGCTTTCTTTATTAAATATATCTTAGGCATCTTTCCTTATTAGCACACATAATAGGTACCATTTAAAAAATATTGATATGTATGGAGTGCTTACTATATGACCAGGCACTGTTCTAAACTCTTCAAATGTTTTTACTTGCTTTCAATTGGGCTTGATCTATTTTCATTGCTACATGGTAGTATATTGTATGGATTACCATAATTCAATAAATCCTTTACAATTTGATAGATAATCAAATATTTCCAATATTCTGTTGTTAAACAATGCTGCAGTGAACATCCATCTATACATTGTTTCTCTCATGCAGTATATTTATAAAATAGACTTGGAGGAGACTCGCTAGGTCAAAGGAATGTGTATTTTATTTTATTTTACTCTATTTTTATTATTGTTGTTTAAGGATATGTGTATTTTAAATTATAGTAGGTATTCCCAAGTGTTTGCTTTTAACTTAGGGGGCAGGGACTTCTGGGCAAATAATTTGGAATTTGTTGAGTCAGCTTTTAGAGTCTAGAGAGTATTGCAGTTATGTTCTTGAACAGCTTATGTTACAGTATAAAATATCTCAGAATAAATATGTCTCAATTGATAGAACTCCCATGCTATACAACTCACCACTTGAAAGTCAATTTACTGGTTTTTAGCATATTCATATTGTTGTGCAGCCATTACTACAGTCAATTTTAGAATATTTTTATCCTAAAAAGAAACCCCATACCTGTCCCTTCAGCAGTCATTCCCCATTCCTTATCTCTCTCTCTCTCTCTCTCTCTCTCTCTCTCTCTCACACACACACACACACACACACACACACACACACACACACACCTTAAGCAACCACTACTCTATGCCTGTCTTTATAGATGTATCTCTTCTAGACATTTCCTATAAATGGAATCATAGGTATGTACTCTTCTCTGCCTTTTTTCACTTATCACAGTGTTTTCAAGTTTCACTCAAGTTGTAGCATGTATCTGTACATTTTTTATTGCTACACTATATTCCAAAGATATACTGCCTTTCTTTGTTCATTAGTTGCTAGACATTAAGCATGTTTATACTTTCTGTTTGCTATGAACAATGCTGTGTGTATCCATGTACAAGTTTTTTTTTTTAATTTTTTAATGTTTATTTATATTTGAGAGAGAGACAGTGCACGAGCACGGGAGGCGCAGAGAGGGAGAGATGGAGACAGAATCTGAAGCAGGCTCCAGGCTCTGAGCTGTCAGCACAGAGCCTGATGTGGGGCTTGAACTCACAAGCCATGAGATCATGACCTGAGCTGAAGTCGGACACTTAACCGACTAAACCACCCAGGCGCCCCATGTACAAGTTTTTATGTGGATGTAGGTTTTCATTTCTTTTATTTTAATACCAGTCTAGTTAACATACAGTGTTATATTAGTTTCAGGTATACAATATAGTAATTCAACAATTCTTTACTTTAGTCAGTGCTCATCATGATAAGTGTACTCTTAATTCCCTTCATTTATTTTACCCTTTCCCTTCCCCGCTCTGGTAACCATCAGTTTGTTCTCTATGGTTAAAAGTTTGTTTTTTGGTTTATCTCATTTTTTCTTTGTTCATTTGTTTTGTTTCTTAAATTACACATATGAGTGAACTCACATGGTATTTGTCTTTCTCTGACTTATTTCATTTAGCATTATACTCTCTAGGTCCATGTTGTTGCAAATGACAAGATTTCAGTCTTTTTTATGACTGAATAATATTCCATTATACACACACACACCACATCTTCTTTACCCATTCATGTATGGATGAACATCTGGACTACTTCCATAATTTGGCTATTGTAAATAATGCTGCAGGGGCGCCTGGGGGGCTCAGTCAGTTAAGCGTCTGACTTCAGCTCAGGTCATGATCTCAAGGTTTGTGGGTTTGAGCCCCGCATTGGGCTCTGTGCTGACAGCTCAGAACCTGAAACCTGCATCAGATTCTGTGTCTCCCTCTCTCTCTCTGCCCCTCCCCCACTCATGCTCTGTCTCTGTCTTTCAAAAATAAATAGATGTTAAAAAAAATTTAAATAGTGCTGCAGTAAGCATTGGAGTGCATATTATCTTTTTGAATTAGTATTTTCCTGCTCTTTGGGTAAATACCCAGTAGTGGAATTACTAGATCATATGGTAATTCTATTTTCAATGTTTTGAGGAAACTCCATGCTGCTTCCCACAGAGGCTACACCAATTTGCATTCCAACCAACAGTGTACTAGTATTACTCTTTCTGTACATCCTTGCCAACATATGTTCATTTTCATTTCTGTTGGGGACACACCTAGGAATGGAATTGCTGGGTCATATAGTAAATTTGTGTGTAACATGTTGAGGAACTGCTAGACTCTTTTCCAATGTGGCCTCATGATTTTACATTCTCACCAGCAATATATAAGGGTTCCAGTTTCTCCACATCTTTATCAACATCTATGTTATTTATGTTTTTAAGTATAACCATGCTAATGGGTATAAAGTGATCTCTCCTTGTGCTTTTGATTTGCATTTCCCTAATGACTAATGAATATCATTTCATGTACTTACTGGCCCTTTGTGTATCTTCTTTGGAGAAATATCTTTAAATTCTTTGCCTATTTTTTAATTGGGTTGTCCTTTTATTATTGAGTTGTAAAAGGTATTTATATATTCTAGAAGATCCTTATCAGATACATGATTCGCAAATCTTCTCTTCCAGTATGTGAGTGCAGCTATATTTTATATTAGTTTTTAGTTTTATTGGAAAAATTCAGTAACATAAATAAAGCAACATTTCTTCTCTTGTGCCCAGTCTCATTCCATAGATGGCCATGTTTTGTTTTGTTTTTACAACGTTAAAAATGTCCTATATATTGGCAGCAACGATCTAATCATTTAAATACTCTGAATATAGACTTTGTTCTACATTTCAGTTAAGGAGCAGAAATTGACCATGACTGTGTATTTACCCCCTTCTTCTGAAGAGTTTCTCAGTATATTTGGAGACAAGTAAATTTTGTTCCTTATCATGTATTTCCATCACAATTTTGTGTTCATTTAATTTTATCAAAATGAGAACTTTATGCAAAAATGAGTTCACTTAAATCTTACATTTCAAGGCACTGAAGTACTCTAAAGAGTCTTCTTGCTCTAAAAGCAGTAGCTTTCAGAAAGTTTTTACCTTACCCCTATCCACAGTAAGAAACATCTTCATGTCATTGGCCACCCCCTCACAAGATACCGGAACTGAAACACAGGGTTCACAAACAATCCTTACTGGTATTATATGTGATCAATTTCGTATTTTCTGTTTGAGCTATTTCATTAAAAAGATGCTGGTGGCAGTCTACCTAAATTGATTTCACAAAATACATTGAGATGTACAATACAAAAAGTGCTATGGGAATGATGAACGTTAATCTTAGTAAAGCCTCTTTAAATACTAATCTTAATTTTCTTGCAAGAGACATTAAGGTTTTATATGAACATTTTGAAAATGTCCTTTGCATTTCATTTCAGGTTGGAAGAGTGGGGAGATTAGGCCAAAATGGAACAGCGATTACTTTCATCAATAACAATTCAAAAAGACTCTTCTGGGATATTGCAAAAAGAGTAAAACCCACAGGATCCATTCTTCCCCCACAGTTACTAAACTCCCCTTACCTTCACGACCAGAAAAGAAAGGAACAACAGAAAGATAAACAGACACAGAATGATCTGGTTACAGGTGCTAATCTTATGGACATTATTAGAAAACATGATAAAAGTAATTCTCAAAAATGACTTGTTATACCACTGAACAATTTTTTATTGTGTATGTTGTCCATGAAATTTCTGTATCTTATTACTGTATGGTTCGAATCAATGGGACATGTACATGAAGCAAAAAAAATTTAACATAATTTAAATTTTTTTAAATTGAATATCAGATTTATACCACAGTATTATATTTATTTCCCTTTAGCTCTCATAAATTAAGAAAAAATCGGAAAATGAATTGCTAAATAAAATAAAATTTTTTCTGTCTAGACAAAGCCTTTTTTTTTCCCCCAGTACTCTTGGAGCTGCTGTCAGAGCTGGACACCTGCACAGCGAGCAGTCAGACTCAGAATGGTGATAGTTTTGTTTAGTGTCCCCAGTGTGTTGCAGGCACATTGGCACTTGGGTCATTGTTGAATAAATGAATGTTAGGAAGAAAGTAAATGATGAAACTGGAAGAAATGATTGGTGCTTCTTTAAAAGATCAGTGTGAAATATGTTTTATTCTCAGTTGTTTTCCCTTCAGCTTGGTAAACATTTTTTTTTTAATATAACTTACTGTCAAATTGGCTTACATACAACACCCAGTGCTCATCCCAACAAGTGCCCTCCTCAATGCCCATCACCCGCTTTCCCCTTTCCCCTGCACCCCATCCACCCTCAGTTTGTTCTCTGTATTTAAGAGTCTCTTATGGTTTGCCTCCCTCCCTCTCTGTTTGTAACTATTTTTCCCCTTCCCTTCCCCCATGGTCTTCAAGATCCACATATGAGTGAAAACATGATACCTGTCTTTCTCTGACTGACTTATTTCACTTAGCATAATACCCTCCAGTTCCATCCACGTTGCTGCAAATGGCCGGATTTCATTCTTTCTCATTGCCAGATAGTATTCCGTTATATATATAAACCACATCTTTATCCATTCATCAGTTGATGGACATTTAGGCTCTTTTCACAATTTGGCTTAACATATAACATTCCACAGTGTTATACTTATTATGGGCTGCTTATCAAAATAATGTCAAGTTATGTTAATGCTGAATTGCACTTACAGTTTTATGTCAATGTCAGTTTGCTAATTCAATTGATAATATTAAATAATGGAATGAAGGATAGGTGTTTTGCTTTGATACATCAGTACTTTCATTTCTTTAAAAACTGTTAGTTTCAGTTTACTTGAATGATTTAGACAGTATGTTACATAAATATTGACACTTAAGCTTTATATCCTAAACATCCTCCCCAAAGGGGCGTGGCAGAGATTTATGGAACTAACTAGAGTCCCTCAGTAGGTAGTTTCTTAATGTCCCCACCCAAAGGAAAGTAAGAGGTCAGAGGTTCCCCAAAGAATGTGACCCTCAAGACTCTGGCTTTCTCTATCCTGATTCTACGTTTGCTAACTGTTGAGTGGTAAGTATGTCTGATTTCAAGGATGAGGCAACCATTAAGGTCCCACGGTGCTGTAGCCGGTGCATTGGGAGGCTGAAATTCAAGCATCACCACCATGCTCAACATATAAAAGGGCCTTAAAAGTGTTGATAACAATAGAGAAAGGGCACTTTTTCAGTAGTCTCAAACTTGTGTATAAATAAAAGCAGTATAGAGAGATGAGAGCTTTGCAAATCAGTATTTTTAGAAGACTGTATGTATTTAAATCTTCAACTTTTTAAACCATCACCAGTGGGCACTAACATCTTTTTTTAAAGTAATCTCTACATTTGATGGGATTGAACTCACAACCCCAAGATCAAGAGTCACATGCTGTACCACTTGAGCCAGCCAAGCACCCCTAGAAGACTATATTTAAACAAAAATAAATAGTGTTGGGCTATAATGTAACCCCACTGGTCAGCCTCATTGGCTCGTTGACTGGCTTCCGTTCCCACTTCTATTCATGCGTCCTTCAGTTGCCTTCTTATGTTCTGCCTGCTCTCACTTTGAACTGTTTTATCGCATTGGGCAATAGACCACCCTCTTTGAAATTCTCACTTCCTTCAAGGCAGCAGGTGAATGAGACAGTGGTGGGGGAAAGAGTACCTAACTCGCAGGCTCATCATGAGGATTTAATCAGATTTAAAAAAAAAGCCAAAGTGTTGTTTTTGTGTTTTTTTTTTTTTTTTTGGCTTCATCACATCTTCGCAAAGAACATTGCCAGATATTTAAACTATGACTCACACTGGTTAAGTAAAAAGTTAAATCTAAGTTGGACCCATGAACTGTCGTATTTTCTGATAAAACTGTGTGTGTGTGTGTGTGTGTGTGTGCAGGCTGAATGTTACTCAGCTTGCATCCTTCTATGGAATTTATATACACCTCTTACTGCCTTGTTATATTTTCTGCTCACCACAATCAACACAAAGTTTGCTCTACAAATGTAGGGAGGCATGGTCTGAGAAGTGATGTGTCATTCAAGGTGACTTTCCTGGCAGCCAAAAGTAAACTGACTCCAGACAGATAGGACCCTTTTGTTGTCTCCAAGGCACACTTACAGTGACCCCGGAGGCTGGAGGGCCACGGTATGAAAACCAACAAATGATAATTAAGTAAGCAGTTTTCTTGTTGCACTGTTAGTGTGAGAGCCTATGTTGTCGTTCTATTTTAGGATGTATGGCACCCTGTGGTGTTATTTGACAGAATTACAAATGAAGTGAATACAAGACAAACGTTAACTTCATAAATATGTTTACAAAGAGTAATTTGTAAAATGTTTACAAACAGTAATGTTTTGAATTTTAGCTTTCTGAAGAATTCACATGTCATCCTTATTTTTCTCATTTCATCTCAATGATGAAAAGTTGACAAAACTGTTTGCAGAGAACTGGGTTCCAGTTATAGCTCCACAGTTGTATTTTTTTTAAACTAGTGGAAATTCATTACCATCTCTAATCTTTAGCGTTGCTCATTTGTAAGATGAGAGGGTGTCCTTTAAACTTCTCTGCGGTCTTTCCAAATCTATGTTTTCTGTGCTTCATACTTTTCTTTTTTATTACATAATCTGTACACCTGACCTGGGGCTTGAACCCACAACCTGAGATCAAGAATCACATATTCTACCGACTGAGCCAGCCAGGTGCCCCCTGTACTTCATACTTTTAAATCTGTCTCTCCATGTCTGGAATATGCTTCAGAATAATATGGGGTGGAGAGTCTGGATGAAACAAGGTTGGCTAAGACCTGATCATTATTGAAGCCAGGTGATGGGGTTCTTTACTGTTTGGTCTATGTCTGATGTATTTGAAATATTCTATTAAAAAAAAAATATATATATATATATATATACACATATACATATTTTACATATATATAAAATCTTCAATCCTATCCTTTGACTTGTGCCTTAGTTACACATCTTCAACTTTCCACCAAACTTTTGGCTCAAATTCACCTGTCTGGAGCCAAATTTATCAGGTTCCTTACAAAAAAGTCAAATTCCCTCCTTGTGACTTCCTACTGCCTGTGTGCTACCACTTTCCAAGCCATGTTCAGAATCGTGGTGTCATCATTGACTCATCTCTCTCCCTCTTCTCCATTTCTGCTTAGTCACCAAGTCCTGTCTATTTTTCTATCAAAATGTCCACACTTTTATGCTGCCACAGAAGCCTAAGGCTCCACCACCCCAAATCTGAATTTTTGGCCATTCTAATTCCTGATCCCCTGCCACCCAATGTTCCTCCAATCCAGAGCAGGAACATACTTTTAGAGTATAATCTCAGAAACCTTCAGCAGTTTCCTGTTGACAGCAACATTAAATCTGAGTTCTTCTGGCTGGTGTCCGAACCCCTCCTTCATCTGAGTCCACTCTACAGCTTTCTACCTACTGTTCACAAGCCGGAACCATCTGCTGTGGCTTTCTCTGCCTACTAGAACAGTACCGAACACCATTGCTGAAAGATTAAACGTTCATCAGAACTTCCATGAACACATTCACAGTACTGATAATTAACCGCTGGCAATCTGAACTGTTATGTCACTGGTAAGCTCTCAAACACCCAACACAACTAAAGGAAAGCAAAGAATCTGCTAGTGGAGGGACAATTTTAATTAAAGAGGGACTGTTGCTAGCATTTTTTTTTCCTATTTTGAATCCTGGTAATATTTTCATTGGAATTCTGGAGAACCTTAAGTGCTTGGAATCAGATAATAATAGTAAAGTGAATTCTGAGACTAAGGCAGCATTTTAGAACTGACAGAGTTGCTCTGACATACGAGTCAGGCAACTGAGTGCATTTCATTAAATGTGGTGCTTTAGAGAAAGGAAATCAGGATATTTTTAAACAGTTGTTATGATTTTTAAGACATTTCACACAGAACAGTTTATGGTTTCTATGAATGCGAAAATATAAGACAGAAAACTCCTGATCAAAAATGCCATTTTACATAAAATGTGCACACACACACAGGAAGTATCTTTGGAAGAATATTAGGAAAGTAAATGTGATAGCCCATGAGGAGGAGAGAGCTGGGACTATTTGTCTTTGATTTTTTTTTTTAAGTTTATTTATTTTAAGAGAGAGAGAGAGAGAGGTCAGTGGGGGAGAGGCAGAGAGACCTAGAGAAAGAGAGAGAGGAGAGAGAGGTCAGTGAGGGAGGGGCAGAGAGACCTAGAGAAGGAGAGGGAGACAGAATATCCTAAGAAGGCTCTATGCCTGTCAACACAGAGCCCGACTCAGGGCTCGATCTCACAAACCGTGAGATCATGACCTGAGCTGAAATAAAGAGTCAGAAGCTTAACCAACTGAGCTACCCAGGTGCCCAAAACCTCCATAGCTCTTCTTGATTAATTTTTGAGTGTGGTTTCACTCTTGTATACATAGTATTCTCAAATAACTAAGTTATTAATCCTCATTCTGTTTTGCAAAAATACTGCTTTTTCCAGTCTTATTAAAAAATTAAAGGCCTCAGTAGCCTTTGTGAGACTAACAAACTCAATCAATTTATGTTTTTAAAAAAACGCAAACACAAAATCAGATGCATGTTTATGATAACTACTTTTTCTAATACCAAAATATGGACACAATCTTACAGAAGGTTTTTTTCCCTAATGTATAAATGCAT